GCAGTGTTTGTCTTCCTGCTGTTCCCGTTGCATGCAACGCCAGTATAAAGAAACAACAGAAATAAATATACAATAATTAAAACGCCTTTTATACTATTGCTGGCGAAGCAAATACAAAAAGAAAGCTGAAGCAGCAACACTACTGGGGGCCCTCGGGGGCCCCTGGGGGCCCCCCAGGTGTTGCTGCAGTGGAGTTGATGCTGCGGGTCTGTAGCAGAGTTTGCGGTGTATATAAGAGCATCGCTAGAAGCGGATTGAAAAATAGAAAGATAAATTAGCATGAAGAATACAAAATAATAAATAAAATGAATTTAAAAAAATAAAAAACTAATATAATTTAATTTCATTGGTGGAAATCGAACCCACGCGGTTTCAAACTGCTGCCTCCAATCTCCGCGTTGGACCACTCGGCCAATTTGATGAGTCCGAGCTCCTGTTTGTTTGTACACTTCGTGTTGTTATTAAACAAATTAAAATAATAATTAATGCATTTAAAAGAAGTTTTACTCCTTTATACCTGCACATCTAACCCTGCAGCAGCAACACCAGCAACAGCAGCAGTTGCTGCAGCAGCAGCAGCAGCAGATGCTCTCGTATCAGCAGCAAACTCGGTAGAGTTTACGGGGGTGGGGGGCCTCTATATGTGTGTCTGCTTTATTTGCTTTTATTATTATTATTATTATTATTGTCTCTTTATTTCATTTGATTTGCTGCAGCTTGTTTGGTTGCTGTTGTTAGTTGAGGCTCTCCTCTCTGCTGCTGCATGTGTGTGTGTGGGGCCCCCCTCATCTCTTTTATCTCTGCTCGTTTATTTTCTTGTTTTTTTTATTTGTCTTCTCGTTCTGCTCCTGAAGGAAGCAACAGCCGTAGTTTCTTCTTCTGCTGCATTTGCTGCGCTGCTGTTATTCCCGTTGCAGTGACTCAAGACAAGGCCGAGCTACTGCAGCAGCTGCTGCTGCAGCCGAGCAGCAGCAGCAGCAGCAACAGCAGTAGCAGCAGCAGCATCTTGGCCTAGACAACGCAGCAGGGAGCAGGGTTGATCTGGGGCAAGGTTTCTTTTGTGTTGCTCCGTTGTCTTGCTGCGCCTCCTGCGACAGTTTTCTCAACTGCAGCAGCAGCAGCAGCAGCAGCAGCAGCAACAGCAGCAGCAGCCAACATCGAGGCGCCTTCTTCTTTGTTGTTTTCTGCTGCTGTCTCCTGTTGGTTTTCAGTTGCAATGAGTTTGCTGCTGCTGTCTCCTCTGCTTCGGAGATGAGTGTCTCAGCAGGCAGCAGCAGCAGCAGCAGCAGCAGCAGCAACAGCAGGGGCCCTTTCTTCAGCGTAAGTTCTTCCTCTCTGTTCTGGGAGATTCGCTCCTTGCACGCAGCAGCAGCAACAAGAGCTGCTGCCGCTGCTGCTGCTGCTGCTGCACGTCGCGCTGTTTGGCGTGGCAGGGTTTGCTGCAGAGTTTTGCTGCTGCTGCTGCTGTTGTTGCCCCTGTACCTTTCAGCTGGCAGCAGCAGCGAGCTGCTGCTGCACGCAGCAGCAGAATCTCCTCTCTCCCTTCGGGTGTCTGCGCATCTGCATCAAAGGCAGCCGCTGCTGCACTTTGCTGCTGCTCCAACGCTCCGTGTAGCTTCTTCCAGCAGCAGCAGCAGCAGCAGCAGCAGCAGCAGCAGCTTCCCATGCATGCGCCGTTCCCTTCTTTGCCCTTCCTTCCTTGGGGTACCTTCAGCTGCAGCGCCAGCAGCAGCAGCAGCAGTAACAGCAACAAGAGAGGCGTCAACCGCAAGATGCAGTGCAGGCAGCCAGCAGCAGCAGCAGAAGCAGCAGCAGCCGCTGCTGCTGCCCCTCCAGCATCGCCCTTTGCCGTTGCAGCGGCTGCAGGCATTAGGTGCAGCAACGCTTGCTGCTGCTGCTGCTCCCGTTGCTGCTGCTGTTGCTGCTGCAGGAGAGCGCAGCGCTGCCGCAGCAGCAGCAGCAGCAGCAAAACTACGTGGGGGGCCCCGCTCTTGGTTGTTACGTCGTGTTAATCTGGAGGGTTTGCTGCTGCGGCTATCAACAGGAACAGCGCTTGCTGCTGCTGCTGCTGCTGCTGTGCTGCTGAGCCCTGTGTCTCTACTGTCTCTTCTTTGCTGGCTTCAGTCTCTTCTATCTTTAAGAGAGTTGCGCTGTCTTTGTTTAAAAAAGCAATTATCTCTCCCTTCACCTCTCGGTGCTGCTGCAGCAAGCGCTCTTGTTATGGCAGCAGCAGCAACAGGAAACCCTCAAACCCACCTACTCGTATGTAAACCCTAAACCCTAAACCCTAAACCCTCAAACGCACCTACTCGTATGCAAACCCTAAACCCTTTATTCTGTGAGGTCCCTCTAGGGTGAAGAAGAAGTTCCGCCTCATTCTGCTGCTGCTGCTGCTGCTGCTGCTGTTGCTGCTGTTGCTGCTGTTGCTGTTGCTGTTGCTGTTGCTGCTGCTGCGTTTGTTCCAGGCGGAGGGCACTGCATTGTGCGGGTTGCTGCTGCTGTCTCTACTGTCTCCTCCCAGCAGCAAAGGGATAGCAGATGTTGCTGCTACTGTACTGGGGCATTGCTGCTGCAGCTTCCTCCCTTCCTTCTGGTTGAGACTGAGGGCCCTCAAACAGCCTAATCTTGCTGCTGCTGCTGCAGCAGCAGCAGATGCAGCAGCAACAGATGTAGCAGCAACAGATGCAGGAGCAGCGGCACCGGCTCCAACCAGCAACTCGAGCAGCAGCAGCGACAACAAAAGCAGCAGCAGCAGCAGCAGCAGCAGCAAGAGCAGCAGCAAGAGCAGCAGCAGCAGGAGCTGGCTGTCGCGTTTGTGGGGTTTGTGGGGTTGCGGTGTATCTCGAGTGATGAGAGGCGTCTCCTCTTTGTCTCCTCGTCTGCATGCATGCTCTGAACGCTGTTTATTATTATACGGCTTGCTGCTAGTTGGTGTTAATGATAGTGCTGCTTATCTTTTAGGTTCTGCTGTGGGGAGGTCTCCTTTGTCTGCTCTCTTTTATTCAAACGAGATGCATCTGCTGCCTCCTGCTGCTCTCGTGTCTCCGAAGAAAACTGTTGTTGGGCTTGCTGCTGGGGCAGCAGCAACTACTGCAGCAGGGGCACTACTTGCTGCTGCTCTAGCAGCAACTGCAGCACGCAATGCTGCGAGGATCGTCTCCTCCCCCACTGGGATCGTCTCCTCCACTACTGGGATCGTCTCCTCCCCCACTGGGATCGTCTCCTCCCCCACTGGGATCGTCTCGTCGGAGACGATCCCGCCTTCTGTTTCGGCTAATTCAAAGCGTCTCCTTTCATCTTTAAACGTGTCTCCTTCTTCTCCTCCCTCCGGGTGTCTCCTCAGTGGCTTCTTAGCAGATACTCTCATTGACTTCTTCTCCCCACAAACAACTGCAGCAGCAAACCCTCAGCAGCAGCAAACCCTAAATCCTCAGCAGCAGCAAACGCCAAACCCGCAGCAACAGCAGCTGCAAAAAACAATGAACCCTCAGCAACAGCAGCAAACAATGAGCCCTCAGCAGCAGCAGCAGCAGCAGCAGCAAACCCTCACCCGTCAGCAGCAGCAGCAGCAAACCGTAAGCCGCCTGCGTGTTGCTGCAGCATGGATGGTGTTGGGTTTGTTGGGTTGTTTGTGTGGGGCATCTGTGTCTGCTGCTGCTGTCGGTGGTGATTTGCTGCTGAGTTTATTTAAAAGAGATGCAGGGGTTAAAGATACAGGAGACTGTCTCCCTGGACACGGGGGCTGGCTTGATAGAACAGATGCACATGTAGTAGCAGGCCCTTTGATGTATGTCTGGGGGTCTCTGCTGCAGCGCTTGCTGCTGCAGATGCAAGCAGCAGCAACCTCCAAACGCATTAAAATGCAGCAGCAGCAGCAGCAAGTGATGCAGCAGCAGCAGCAGGAGCAAATGATTAAGCAGCACCAGCAACATAGCAAGCAGCAACATCTGACGAGAAAGCAAGTCAGGAATTCGCGGCGGGTGTCTCCTGCTGCTGCTGCTGCTGCACCTGCTGCTGCTGCTGCTCCTACTGATGCTGCTGCTGCTGCGATCAAACGCCGCAGAGGCCCCTCTTCAAGGGGGCCCCGTGGGGCCCTCTAGGGGACTTCCTTGTCATACGACTGCATGCATGCATGCATGCATCTATAAATGCATGCATTGATTTATGCATGCATGCAGAGGCTCATACATGCATGCATGCAGCGGGTTATATTTATAGATGCATGCCTGGGTTTGTTGTGCATGCATGCATTAATAGTAATAGATACATGCATTGATATATGTATGCATGCATTGATAGATGCATGCATGCATTCACTGATATGAATGCATGCATGCATGCATGCATTTGAATGCATGCATGCATGCACGCCCAGAAGGCGGTTTGGGGCTGCATCTATGTGGTGTATCTCCTGTCTCTCTGCGTTGCTGTTCCTACTGCTGCTTCTACTGCTGCTGCTGCTGCTTCTATTCATGCGGCATTAAGGGCAGCAACAGAGGCAGCTGTACGTACACCGTAGAGGGGGCGCGTGGGGCCCCACAGACCAGTAGTCATTGTCTATCAAACACGATATTTGTTTGTTTTTACATTCAAAGACAAGGTCTGATCAAAATAAGTCTCCCTTCAGCCTGCAAAGCAGCAGCAGTAGCTGCTGCTGCTGCTGCCGCCGCAGCAGCAAATGATGCAGCAGCAGCAGCAGCAAATGATGCAGCAGCAGCAGCACATGCTGCAGCTGCAGCAGGCTGCTGCGCTGCTGAACTTAATGGCATTTGTTTTGTGTGCAATTGTGTGCATGCGTTGAGGCTTAGAGCTATTTAGGGTTCTAAATAAGAATAATTAGGGTTTAGGGTTTAGGGTGTATATGCTGCAAGGTTTATCAAGCCGTTTACTACGACTTTCGTAATACACTGAAATACTTATTTGGGGTTTGTAAGGGTTTAGGGTTTACAGGGGTGTGTGCAGATCTAGGGTTTAGGGTATATGAGGGTTTGTGAAAGTAGATAAGGGTTTATTACAAGTGTGTGTAGGGGTTTATTAATCTATATAAAGGATATATTTGATTTTATTAGGGTTTATGAGGGTTTACTAGGGTTTACAAGGGTTTCTCAGTGTATATTAGGGTTTATTATTAGGGTTCATTACTAGGGTTTAGGGTTTAGGGTTAATGAGTGTTTAAGGTTAATGATGGTTTAGGGTTCATTAGGGTTTAGGGTTTAAGGTTAATGAGGGTTTATGAGGGTTTAAAGTAAATGAGGGTATAGGGTTTATGAGGGTTTAGGGTTTAGGGTAAAGGAGGGTTTAGGGTTTAGGGTAAATGAGGGTTTAGGGTAAATGAGGGTTTAGGGTTTATGAGGGTTTAGGGTTTAGGGTTTATAAGGGTTTAGGGTTTAGGGTTTATGAGGGTTTAGGGGTTCCCTCCTGCAGCAATTCTATCAAGCCAGGGAGGTATAGGGGCTTTAGCTTTTGTAAGCTGCGCAATAAGAGGTGAAGCAAGAGACCTATCTTTTAAAGAGAAGTAAGCAACAGCTTTACCTGTTCGTCCTGCTCTACCTGTGCGTCCAATGCGGTGTACATACACCTCAATTGTAGGGGGTAGATCAAAGTTTATTACAAAGCCTACATTAGGAAAATCTAAACCTCTAGCAGCAACAGATGTAGCTACGAGTACCTGATGTTTATTGCCTTTAAATTTTACATAGACATCTCTTCTCTCTTGCTGCTGCATGCCCCCGAATAATGTTGCTGCAGATACACCTAAATTATATAAATGAGAAGCAACAGCTCCTATTGATGCACGACCAGCAACAAAAACTACTGCTTGGCTTCCTTCAACTCCAGCAGCAGCAGCAGCAGCAGCAGCAATATCAGAAGTAGCACCACCACCACCAGCAGCAGCAGCAGCAGCAGCAGCAGCAGAGTTGCTGCTGCTCTCCGCTAAAGAAGTCCAAAAGGATAGCAAATCTGCTGTTAAAGCATCTAACTTCTCCTTGTATGTAGACACATACTTCACCTCCTAACAAACAAAAATAAAATAAAACAAATAAATATATAAATAAGTATATATATATATATATGTATATATGTATATATATATATATGTAAATGAATTACAATGAACGAACAAATCAATAGAAATAAATAAATATATATTTTAAAATATATTAAAAATACATACGTGCATATAAATATAAAATAAATAAATAAAATAACATCTTTTAAGACAAACAAATGCAAATAAACATAAAGTATATAAGATATATATATATATATATATATATCTTATAGATCTTATATATTACATATTGATATATTATATATATTATATATTATATAATAAAATATAATATATAATATATAGAATATAAATACCTGTTGTATAGCGACTTCATCTCTTTGTTTATTATTAGCCTTTTTAATGATTTCTATTTTAAAGTACGGCGATCGCAGAAGAGAAGACAAAATATTTTGTAAAGAGACAGGAAATGTAGCAGAAAAAAGAAAAGTTTGTCGCGTGTCCGGCATGTCGCGATTAGACGCTAAATCAACTATCTGCATGCAACAGCAGCAGCAGCAGCAACACCAACAGCAGCAGCTGCTGCAGCACTGGGAGCAGCGGCAGGAGGAGCAGCAACAGCAGCAGCTGCTGCAGCAGTAGGAGTAGCAGGAGGAGCAGCAGGAGGAGCAGCAGTAGCAGCAGTGAGAGCAGCAGCAGCAGCAGCAGTAGGAGCAGCAGTAAGAGTAGCAATAGGAGCAGCACCAGCAGCAGCAGAAGGAGCAGTAGCAACAATAGCAGCAGCAGTACAAACAAAGAAAACGAGCAAAGACAAACAAAACAAAACGAACAAAGACAAACAAACAAAAGAAACAGACAAAGACAAACAGAGACAGACAAAGACAAACAAACAAAAAAATAAAGACAATCGGAGACAGACAAAGACAAACAAACAAACAAAGACAAACGGAGACAGACAAAGACAAACAAACAAAACAAACAAAGACAAATAAAACAGATAAAGAAAACACAAAAGCAAACAAACGAACAAATAAACAAAGACAAACAAAGACAAACAAAGACAAACAAAGACAAACAAAGACAAACAAATAAACAAACAAAGACAAACAAAGACAAAGACAAACAAAGACAAACAAAGACAAAGAAGCAAGAAGATAAAGGAGATAGTCTTACAACTTTCTGAAACCCTAAATCTAACATAGCATCTGCTTCATCGAGAACAAGCAGCTGAACAAACTCTAACGATACTTTGCCTCGCAAACATAACTCATCAACGCGCCCGGGTGTACACACAGCTATGTCTATTTGCTTCTGGTTTATCTCGTGCACCTATTCGCAAAAACAAACATATACATATATATATATATTTGAATATATATATATATATTTGTATATATATATATACATATATATATTTGAATACATATATATATATATATATACAGTATATATAATATATATATTATATATTTGAATACATATATATA